TTTTCCCTTTTTGAAGGAATATTACTATTTAACAAGTCCAGCTGTAATTGTTTTAAGCAGGCACAGTTGGAGTTGTGAAGATGGCAGTTACTTAGCTTAGAAGGAACCGTGCAGCACCACCTTAATAAGAGAAGGCTGCATTCAGATCACACAGAGTCAGGCAGTGAATACATATTACACATGCCCATTTGTTAGACCAACAAATGGGTTTGTAAATTTAAGGTAAAACCTTAAAAAAACATAAGCAGCCTTTATAACTTAGGTAGCATGTAAGCATTTTTTATTTGATTGGTTTTGAAGCAATGTTGTTTGATTGGTTTCTTTGTATTGACCTGGAATGTTTTTGTTTTTTGTTTTTGAGACAGGGTTTCTCTGTGTAGCTTTGGCTGTCGTAGAACTTGCTCTGTAGGTCAATTTGGCCTCAAACTCAGGGATCCAACTGTCTCTGCCTCCTGAGAGCTGGGATTAAATTCATGTTTACATTATCTGACACAATTTAGCTGGGGAAATCCTGTTAAAACTGTGATGTTGAAATTATTATTGAGAGATTTGGACAAAGGTTCTTTTTATTCTTTCTAAGTGTGGGCATCATGTTAGCTGGTTTTATTATAAACACTTTTATACCATGAATTAATTAATCAGTAGTACCCTTATTGGAATAGCTTGCCTCTTACCTGTTTTAAGTACATGTGTGGTTTTCTTGGGCTATTTTGTTCTCCTCCTCCTTGTCACAGAGTCGTGGGGACAGTCTGACTCAGGACTGGCTTTGGAGGAAACACTGAGCTACATAACCTTGCAAGCAAGCAAATGCCATCTTCTGAGCCAATTTTCCAAGCGAGTTAAAACAGTCTGTGACAATTTATCAATACTATCCATATCCAAAAAGACATCTGAATCTCTGTAAAACGGAACCCAGTGATCTGCATCACCACAACCTGTTTGTGTCTATAGATGGGGGCAGACAACCTGAAAAGCCTAACCCTAACTGAAAAGTAGAAATAAAAGCAAGAGCATTCAGGCTTGGTGGAGGAGAAAAAAGGTAGACCGAAGGCACGGGGTAAAGAAATCCCAGAAACAAAAAGACCATCCCGTCTCAGGAAAAGCAGGTTTGGAGACCCAGTAAAAACAGCTGGCATTAGGATCCACCCAGTGTAGAGTCAGTCTGCCTGGGTCAGGTTGTAAGTAGAAAGGAAGGAAGGAAGGAAGGAAGGAAGGAAGGAAGGAAGGAAGGAAGGAAGGAAGGAAGGAGCAAGCAGGATTGGCTGAGTGTCTTATCCTGCTGCCTGAGGCATATCCCAGGTTTTGGGAAAGATGAAAGTGAGCCTAAGTGTTAGGAAGATGCATCATAAGAGAGGGGGAGTCATAAAGTCAGTCAAAGCGATATGTGGGAAGTTGCTTTAGTCTCAAACATTGTGATCCAGAGGAGCAGAAGCTCCTGGAGCTTCTGGGACCTGTTTAAGGCGCTTCTGAGTCAGACATGGACAGTCTCGCAGAATTTGGATGTAGGGATGGCAAACCTTTCCTTCCTATGATGCAGGGTTGGCAAAGATAAGGAGGTGCAGGATGTGTTCCTGAGAAAGCCTGGCCTGTGGGAGACACAGGTTTATCAACAAGTCATTGTGGTAAGCCCTGTGGGTGCTTTGAAAGATCAAGAAGAACTCCCATCTGGGAACCAGGGTGCAGAGAGGCTTTGGTGGGGGGGAAGGTACAGGCAGTGGAAAGGAGATGCTTCTCCAACTGCTGGAGCAGAGAACTTGCAAGCTGTGGGCTATAGCCAATTTTTCTATGAACTGCTTGTCTAAAATGCCCTTTGACCTACTGCTTTTCCTAGGCTCCCTGGGTCATGTCTAAGCTTCCCCACAGCCTTCCAGGTGTCCATTTGTTTGTGATGACTCCAAAGACTGGTCATTGTTTGACTGTAGGCCATGCTTCAATATGAAGCACCTGGAAGCTTACACACTCGAGCTTCATTTGGTAACCTGATTGCCTGTGACTTTGGAGGAGCTCAGTTAAGTGGGCATTTTAATCTGGGGTGTTTTCTGCTTGCCTTGCTTTCGTTTAGAGCTAGATGGTATTGTTGATTAAAATCTTTCCTTCACTTTATGAGTAGGACTTCAGTAGTAACTGTCTGAACCTGTAGTCAGTTGTTCTTATTTTTATTTTTAATGGACATCATGAGCAAATGTGAGAGATATAAGAAAGCCTGTAGGAGCACCCTGGTAAGGGTGGAGTCTCAGTTTTCCCAGGGCTCCTTTCTGTATGGCTTCCAGTCTTTGAACAAGTAAGTCAAGGGTAGTCCAATGGAAGTGGGCTATATGTTGTCTGCCTCACAGCTTGTTTTCTTCCTAATTTTGAGTGCTGGCCACTCTCATACCCCATTCCTTCTGACTGTTTTCTCTACTGCCTACGTTTCCTTGAATCCTTTTTTCCCCCCCATGCAGTACTGGGGATTCAGCCAGGGTCTAAAGCATGCTAGACAATTACTCTACCACTGAACCATACTGTCATCTGATCTCCAGAGTCTTTACATAAGAAAACCATACCAAGTACATACATACCACCTTCCACCTTAAACTCACTCTGGTTGATTTTGTAAATGACTTTTCCATGGAGTCCTTGTATGAATGAATGAAGTGTAACTCTTCCCACCTGGGTGGTTTTTTTTGGGGAGGGAGGGAGGACATGTGTGGTGGGGTTTGTTTGTTTGATGTTTGATATTTTTTTTTCTTTTCTTCCCTCTCCTCCCAGTCCCCCCTCCCACTTCCCTTCTCTCTCAGATCCCCTCTTCCATTTTCCCTTCAGAAAAGAGCAGGCCTTCCAGGGATATCAACCAAACATAGCAAATTAAGTTACAATAAGACTAGGTACATCTCCTCATATCAAGGCTGGACAAGGCAACCCAGTAGAATTCAGTTACCAAAAGCAGGCAAAAGAGACAGAGATTCTTGTGGATTTTTTGTTTTTGTTTTTTTGTTTGGTTTTTCAAGACAGTTTCTCCGTATAGCTGGGACTATCCTGGAATTCATTTTGTAGACCAGGCTGACTTCGAACTCAAGAGATCCACCTGCCTCTGCTTCCCACAGGCTGGCATCAAAGGTGTGTGCCACCTCTATCCAGCTTGTTATGTGGTGTTTGTGACCTTCATTTTCTATAGCTCAGGCTATTATTAAACTCATAATCTTCCTACCTCGGCCTCTTGTTGAGTATTGGGATTACAGGTATACAATGTCAGTCCTGGCCAGATTTGCTTCTGTTGGTGCTTGGGGTGCAGTCCTTAGCACAGGTGGGCAGTTCTACTCCAGCAGTTGAGGAGGGGGAGAGTAGGGGGGAGGAGGATCCTGGAAGGCCCAGTCAGTGATCTGCAAACAGTAGGGGGACTTTTCATGCAGCGTAGTTTGACCTTCTGATATGAAAATTCTCAACACAGCTCTTTTTCCAGGTTTAGCTTTGCAGAATACAAGTGCAGCCCAGACAGCGCCCAGAATTTAGTGTCCCTAACTCAGGGTGGAATCTGACAGCTCTGTATTTGAGGAGTACATAAGAGTTTCTGAGACTTAACTAGCACACAGTACTACTTTTTAGATACCAGGCTTGGGAAAAGAAATAAACCCCTTTCTCAGCTCAGGGGTTGGGGAGAAAACAAGGAAACCAGCAGATATAACAGACATAAAGGAAAGTTGTCTTGGAGAATCAAATAGGGTTTCCAAGAAAGGTGATGTTGTATAGACGTCTAGAAGCAGAACATTTACCTTAATAGTGATTACTTCTATTGGCTGGAGTGGAGAGAGGCCTGTGGGTAGAGTAGGTAGGTAGTTCATGCAGGAGAAACCTGCAGACTCCCATACTTCACTCAGCAGGGCCAGGTGTTGTCTCTGATACCACAGGGAGGGGGCCTGCTTAATGGAGTTTAACTCATTTCTGATTTTTAAAAAAGATTTATTTATTTAATGTACATTGGTGTTTCACCAGTGTACTGTGTAAGGGTGTCAGATCCCTTGGAACTAGAGTTGCAGACAGTTGTGACCTGCCATGTGGTGGCTGGGAATTGAACCCAGGTCCTCTGGAAGAGCAGCCAGTACTCTCAACCACTGAGCCATCTCTCCAGCCCCTCATTTCTATTTTTAAAAACAATTTTTAATTTAATTTTATATTTATGTGTATGCATGTGTTTGTATACAGTGCCTGAAGAGGCTAGAAAAGGGCATCAGATCTTTTGTAGCTGGAGTTACAGGTAGTTATTCCTGTCATGGGTGCTGGGAACCAAACTTGAGTCTGGAAGAATAGCAAGTGCTTTTAACTACTGTATCATTGCTCTAGCCTTCATTTATAATTTCAGGAGTTATTGAAATTGTATATTTTTTGTTACTGTAGAGGTACTTTAAAAAATTACTTATTTGATGTGTATGAGCATTTCACATGCATGTATGCATGTATGTAATATATGTGTGTACCAGTGCCAGACCAGGTCTTGATACCCTTCAGAAGTTAGAAAAAGGTATTAGGTCACCTAGAATTGGAATTACAGATGGTGTAAGCCACCATGCCAGAGCTGGAAACAACCCAGGTCCTCTGCTAGAGAAATGCAAGCTCTTAAGTCACTGAGCTCTTAAACTGAGTTTTGTCTCCAACCTTTGTCTTTTTTTTTTTTTTTTAAAGATGTGTCTTGCAGATCACCCTTGAACTCAGTAGCAGTCTTTCTGCCTCAGCCTCCTGAATGCTGCGATTATGAGCATTGCCATGCCTAGCTATTAAATCTTTATATCTTTGTATCAATTCCTGGAGTGCTGAGACCTACATGTTGGCTCCCTTAGTCCTAGTAAGAAGTGTCTGCCTGCATAGAGTGAGGCACCATTTGTTTTAAGAGGCAGCTTCACCAGGGCTGCCTTCCACATGGAAAGCAGGCATAACAAATACCTCATGGTATATAAAGGGTTGGTTAAAAGCATGACCAGGGATGAAAACAGTCTTAACTTGTGGTGGACTCTCCGTAATTTTGTTTATGGCACCAAGTTAAAAGCCAGAGGCTAGAGGGAAGTTTGTATGTTTTTGTATATTTGGTTATAAGCAGGCTTCTGAAAATTGTGGGACAAGTTCTATTCTCAGTGTTCTTAGCTTTCCTCCATGGGCTGCTGTTGGTCTTCAGTCCATTGACTATTGCAGTTTGTACTTGCAGGCTCAGTGCCAGACCAGGAATTGGAGGCATCCGATCTCGAGTTGGGATCCAGCATAGTCTTCTTAGCCAGCCGGCTCGCACAGCCACCTTCCAGCAGAGATTTGATGCCCGGCAGAAGATTGGCATCTCAGATGCTCGGCTCAAGCTGGGTGTCAAAGATGCTCGGGAGAAACTTTTACAGAAAGATGCTCGGTTTCGGATCAAAGGAAAAGTACAGGATGCTAGAGAGATGCTGAACTCACGAAAGCAGCAGAACGCTGTGCCCCAGAAGCCCCGTCAGGTGGCTGATGCCAGGGAGAAGATCAGCTTGAAGAGGAGATCCCCTGTTACCTTCACAAGCCCACCCATTGGGACGGTGACACCTGCTCTGAAACTCACCAAAACCATCCAGGTAGGCTGTGGCTCCTGCCTGCATTTCCAGAAACCTGGGAAGAAAGCTAGAAGTTTGCAGGAAACATTGGGGAATAGCAAAAATGCAAGTTCCAGTGTTGGTCCAGCACTTTTTGGCTTACAGAAAGGCATAAAGTACATTAGAGACACAGTCTTATGGAACACAGAATATTGCCTTTTAAAGGAGAGGTCCACAAATTTGACATTATTCACTCATCTAGTCAGTGGGAGAACCAGGGTAGAAACCTAAGAGATCTGACCGCTTGTCCGATGTCCTGGACATCCCACACAACCACTACTCTAGAAGGAAAGGAAACAGCATTTAATCTGCCTTAGCTTTGTTTACAGGGATAACACTAGTTATTGACTGAGCCAAGTTCATTAAGTTCTTTAGGTTCATTATTGCTTGACCTTGGCTGACTTGCACATGCCACCATATTTCAAGTTCATGGACCTACTTAGAATGCACTTGAATCTTCTGGGATAGATTATGACCACTGGATGTTTCTAGGTTCCACAGCAAAAGGCCATGGTGCCACTTCATCACTTCATGCTCATTCTGCTGGAATGAGAATCAATGTTGTCAATAACCACCAGGCCAAAAAGGGGGGGGGGCACACCTGAGTGTGTATGCATGCATGTATTTTGATGAGGTCTGCTTGGTAAATCAACTGAGGATTGGCCTACAGCTCCTATTTCTAAGTATTAGAAGGAGGTTTTCACTTGAGTCTGTGAGTTTTAAGAGGAAACTTGTTCTAGGTGTGATGGCATACCTTTAATCCTAGAGCTCAGGGAGCATAGACAGAAAAAGAAGCAGTGGCCTCTTTGGAGACATGATGGTTCACACCTGTAATCTCAGAACTTGGAGGCTGGGCCAGAGACCAAGAATTTGAGCCCTGGGTTATATATAGTGAGTTCAGGATAGCCTGGACTACAGAATGAGACCTTGTTTTTAAAAAAGAAACAGCCAGGCAGTGGTACCACACACTTTTTTTTAAATCATTTATTTACAGTTCGTTGGGCTTTGCCTGCATGTATGTCTGTATGACAGTGTTACACCCCCTGTACTGGAGTTTCAGACAGTTGTGAACTACTATGTGGATGCTGGGAATTGAGCCTGGGTCCTTTGGAAGAGCAGCCAGTGCTCTTAACCTCTCCAGCCCTTGTGGCCCACACCTTTAATCCCAGCCCTCCTGTGGTAGAGGCAGGTGGATCCTGGTCTACAGAGTGAATTCCAGAGTGAATTCCAGGACAGTCAAAGCTACACAGAGAAACCATGTCTCCATCTAAGAGTTCCAGGCCAGCCTGGTCTACAGAGTGAATTCCAGGACAGTCAAAGCTACACAGAGAAACCATGTCTCCAAATACAAAAATAAAACTTAAAAAGAAAGAAACTCCTTAATCCAGGCATGGTATATATGTAATCAAGGAGGCAGAGTCAGGAGGTTTCACAAGAGCTAGGACAGCCTCGGCTTATAAAAAGAAACTTTTTTTTTTGAGACAGTGTCTCCTGTAGACAGTCAGTCTGATACTCCTGCCTCCACCTTCCTGGTATATTGTGCTACAGAGGAAACCCAGGGCTTGGTATTGTGTACCATCTGTGCAGCTCCACCCAAGCCTCTAATAAGAAACTTCTTACCGAGAAAGGAGAGGTATAAAGGGCAGTAGAAGACAGGAAAACTGAATTGTTTGTTAGTATCAATATTACATGTATCTAATGGAGAAAAACACCCTTCATGTACCTGTTCACCAAGCCAGGAACTATTCACATTCTACTGTAGCTCCTTTCTGTGTTTGTTTGTTTTCTTTCAAGACAGGTTTTTTCTGTGTAGCTTTGGAGCCTGTCCTGGCACTCGCTCTGGAGACAAGGCTGTCCTTGAACTTACAAAGATCCACCTGCCTCTGCTTTCTGAGTTCTGGGATTAAAGGTATACGCCACCAACGCCCCGCTTTTTTGTTTGTTTGTTTGTTTTTAAAATGTGTATCAGTATTGGGGCTGGACAAATCGCTCAGAAGTTAAGAATACTGACTGCTCTTCCGGAGGTCTTGAGTTCAATTCCCAGCAGCCACATGGTGGTTCACCACCATCTATGATGAGATCTGGTGTCCTCTTCTGGTGTGGAGGCAGAGCACTGTATACATAACAAATAAATCTTTTTTAAAAATGTGTATCAGTGTTTGTTTGCATGTGTGCATGTGCACTGCGTATTATGCCTGGTGCGGAGGAGGTCAGAAGAAGGTCCCTGGAACTGGAGTTTCACCCATCATGTGTGTGCCAAGGACTGAACCCATCTCTCTTTGAGAAGCAAGTGCTCTTTAACAGCCCCTTTTGTTGTTGTTGTTTTGTTTTGTTTTTGATGTGCTTTCTGGTGCTAGATAAGTACTGGACCACTGAACTACTCTAGCCCCCCTTCGTTTTGTTTTGTTTTTGATGTGCTGGGATGAAACTCGGGGCCTTCTGGTGCTAGATAAGTACTGGACCACTGAACTACTCTAGCCCCCCTTCCTGTTTTTTCATTTATTTCTGTTGTTACTTTTGTTTAATACCCAAGTGGAATTAAGGTTATATTCTCACCCAATTTTGTAATGATCTTTTTTTTCATAATTTCTTTCAAATTTGTATAAAAATCTTTAAGACCTGGATAATTATTAATTTGACATTTTTCCTACTAGAAATACTCTTCTGTGATTACATTTGGGATAAAACTCTTTGTAGGGTTACGCTTACTCCTACAGACCAGACTTGGGATGACTTTTGAAGCCAAATGATGCATAATCAATCATGTACTTCACAGTAACATTGTGGTTAGTTATAGAATAAATACATTTCCATTTTCTGGACAGCCACCCAGAGCTACACAGAGAAACAAAAAAACAAAAACAGAAAATGATATTTCTTGCCATGTGTTAAGTACTTGGGAGACTAGGGACAAGAGGATTGAATTTCAGGCCAGGCTGGGCTACATGGATTATTTCTTCTAAAACATAATTTTGTGTACTTTTTAGCATTTTTTACTGGGTTCTGTGAGCAGGAGTCACCTTGTAAGGACTTGAGTCCAAGTCTCCCCTGACCCCTGTATTCATGTGTCCACATCCTTCCTTAGTTCCTTGTTCATTTCAGCAGCCATTTCTCGGCTCTTGGTTCAGATGTTTGTTGAGGGCCAGCGTGCCATATTAGCATTTATCCACCTGATGGATTTGTTTATTCTTGGGTGTTAGGGTCACTGAGCAACATCCCTAGCCCAGCTTTCTGTTTCTTCCTTCTCAGAACTTATATGACCTAGATGAAGATGATGACGTTGCAGCACCTGTTCCTACAAAACAGATGAAGTTTGCAGCTACAGGCAGCTTTGTCCATCACATGGTATGGTACTCTGCATCAGATCTAGTGGGTGGATGAGGTTGTAGAGAAAAGAGCCTCTCATTGATATGGGCTATGAGCTTTTTTAGAGCCATAACTAGCCAGCTCCCTCTTTTTATCATTGCTGAGACTGGGGTGTCCAGGACTTTACTCAAGGTCCCACAGCAGTGAAATGAAGAGCTACATTTCCAAGGGGCTGGGTTTGAGACACTTGAAGGGAATGTGTTAGTCCATTTTCTGCTGCTGTAACAGTACAACAGGCTGGGTAAACTGTAAGCAGTAGAAGTTTATTAGCAAGTCAAGAAAAGTTGGGCTGCATCTGGAAATATCAGACATCATGCAGAAAAGTGAGAAAGCAGTGTCTGGGAGCTTGAGGAGGGTCCTGTTGCAAAGGCTCAGCTTTGGCCCAGGATCCCAAAGTGTAAACCAATCTCCTGGTTATTAATTAAGTTCTTCCAGTGGTTGTGAAGTTGAATGTTGCCAGTTCATTTATATAAAGGAAAGAAGCCTTTCTAGTAACTAGACTGTTTGGGTTTGCCTGCCTGTCTGCTGGTTTAGTCCATGGCTAATTCCAGTTAGAAAAATAGTGCTTGTAGTAATTTTATTTAAGATTTCTCCTGTTCAGTGACATGGGTTTGTTTTTATGATAAGGAAGCAGCATAGAGAGAGTGGATGAACCTATTCAACATAACCCAGCTTTCGAGGTAGTGGTGGCGCACGCCTTTAATCCCAGCACTTGGGAGGCAGAGGCAGGCGGATCTCTGTGAGTTCGAGGTCAGTCTGGTCTACAGAGCAAGTTTCAGGACTGTTACACAGAGAAACCCTGTCTCTAAAAACAAAACAAAAGTCTGTGTCTCTGCTTCTCAGACTCCTTTCTGCTTGTTTGTATAGACTGGACTGAGCAGTTCCAAGCTGTCCATGTCCAAGGCCCTCCCTCTCACAAAAGTGGTTCAGAATGATGCCTACACGGCTCCTGTTCTTCCCTCCTCTGTTCGAACCAAAGCCTTGACCAACATGTCTCGGACGCTGGTAAACAAGGAGGAGCCTCCCAAAGAGCTGCCACCTGCTGAGGTAAGTTACCACTCCAGCTAGTATCAGCCTGTGTGGGTGGTCACTGTGCTATGTGTACCCCATGGGTCCTTGACCCCCCCCCATGAGGTGGGTGTTAACCATCCCTTTCTGCAAACAAATAAGCCAGTACCTGGGGACCCTTGGATACAGTGAACTTGCTGGACAGTGAGGGCCCTTGGAGAGAGATGGCACTATATAGTGACATGGTCTGAGGGTCCCAGAAGAAAGCTGCTGAGAACCTTTAGGAGTCATCTTGTACCTCTCAGGAATTTAAGCCTGAGCTGGCTGAGTCTCGAAGCATGTATGCATTCCATGCAGAGGCTTGGGTCTGAAGGGCCTGCACATAGGAAGTAGCAGGAGTCTGGTGGCCTGTATAGTCCAAGAGGCCCAGTGTGATAGATGCGTTCTGAATGGGATTTCTGTTGTGCCTTCCTGGTTGGTTGTCTGGAGTGAGTTCTGTATTACTGCATGTTGCCGTTTGACTCCTTGTCATATTCCTCTCTATGGCAGCCTGTGCTCAGCCCCTTGGAAGGTACCAAGATGACTGTGAATAATCTGCACCCTCGAGTCACGGAAGAGGACATTGTTGTAAGTACCGTCACAACTGCCCAACCTTTAAGTCACAGGTGGCTTCTATTGTACAAGTCTATAGGACTACATCAGTTAATGATTTGCTGGAACTCAAAGGATGGGCATGCTCAGGGCAGATTTTTTACTACCCAAGGATACAGGACCAAATCACCAAAGGTGGAGTTAGAGAAACAGGTGTTGACTCCTAGTGGTATAACAGCATGGGGACCTACTCCTCTAACAAGTTAGGGTAACACTTGAAACCAATGACTTGCTGAAGACTCTGTACTTAGGCTGTACCAAATTCCATACTGTACAGAAATAAAGCAAGTGTTCACCATAAACCATACTACTATGTACAGTGTGGTACTGGTGAGCTACTCTGTTAGTTACAAGTGTTGGATGCCCAGTTTTTGGGCACCAGCCGTAAGCCTCAAATGACTCAGCAGGTCAGTCCTATGGTGGCAGAGATAGGTGATCTTTATGAGGCCAAAGCCTTGAAGGCTGCTCTTGAGAGCAGTCTTGGTACAGCTGTTTGCTCTCTTCTGCATGGCCTCTAAATGGTGTCCTGCCCAGTCTGCCTAATCCATGGAGTGTCTTTCATGACAGGACTAGGACAGTCCCTGCCATACCTGTCTTAGTTACGTTTCTGTTGCTGTGACAAAACACCATGTGAAAGCAACTACAAATATTAAATATAGGCTTAGGGTTTCAGAAGGTGGAGTCCACAGTAGTGGAGCAAAGGCATGACAGCAGGGACAGCTGAGAGCTCACAACTTGGTCCGCAAGTAGGAAGCAGAAAGAACAAATATTGGGAATAGCGCAAATTTTTTTGAAACCTCAAAGTCAGTGACAACTCCTCCAACAAGGCAACACCACCTAAACCTTCCCAAACAGTTCTACCAACTGGGGACCAAGCACTCAAGCATAAGAGCTTATGGGGGCAGGGAGAGGTTTGCTGGAGAGAAGGCTCAGAGGTTAGGAGCACTGGCTGTTCTTCCAGAAGTCCTGAGTTCAATTCCCAGCAACCACATGGTGGCTCACAACCATCTGTAATGAGATCTGGTGCTCTCTTTGGCCTACAGGCATACATGTAGGCAGAACACTGTATAACTGATAAATAAATAAATCTTTAAAAAAAAAAAAAAAAGTTTATGGGGCTTTTGTTTTTTATAGCATTGTTGGTTGGTTGGTGTTTTTTCCCTTGAATCTTTGTGAGTTTAATAATTCCATCTTCTCAAGGAGCAAGACAGCTTGGCAGGTTTTGGTGGGTGACCTCTGTAGTGTTCCTTCTTGACTGTAAGAATCATGAGCATAACTAAGGTGACTGTTAAATGTGAGCCTGGGAGCAGCTAGTACTTCCTTTTCACTCAACAGGAATATTAGGCCCTTAGCAGAGCTATTCAGTTAGAAACCTAAGCACCATTTGGACTGTCTGGTGATAAAAAGAGTACAGCTGAAGACTCCAGCTGTGCCCTGCAGCCAAATCTTGGATTCTGCAGCTCTTCCTGTGACCTATTTGTTGCTGGGTAACTGAAGTCCAGAGATCTGTGTGGACAACATTAGAACTAAGAGGCCTTCTCCTTCTACTTCAGCAGATACAGTGTTGCTGGCGGTACACAGACAGACAGAGTACATGCACAAGTACTTACTAGCGAGCTAGATGTAGTTAACTTCTAAGCCATCTCTCCAGCCCCGCTAGCTGTAGTTAAGACATGGAAAGCTATAAAGAATTGAAACTTTTCCTGATTATAAAAGTAGTAGGGTGGTTGGGTGTAGTGACACACACCTTTGATCCCAGCACTTGAGAGGTAGGGACAGGTAGATCTCTAAGTTCAAGGATAGCTTGGTTTACATAGTAAATTCCAGAAGAGCCAGGTCTATGTACAGAGATTCTGTCTCAAAAAAAAAAAAAAAAAAAAAAAAAGGAAGAAAAAGGATAGGCCCATCTCTGTGAGTTCAAGGCCAACCTGGTCTATAGAACGAGTTCCAAAGCAGCCAGGGCTATGCAGTGAAACATAGTCTCAAAAAACCAACAACAAACAAAAAGTTAATAATGAACTGAAATGGCTTCTGTCCATAATCCTAGCTATTCAGGGGGTTGAACTAGAAACATCAGAAGTTTAAGGCCAGCCTAGGTAACACAGCAGCAGTAGAGTAATTACCACTTACTGAGTATTTCTTGTGTGCCAGGTACTTTGTGTGAAAGATCTTTGAAAAGACACAAGTGGAAAATAAAACTCAGAATATTTTCTCAGTAATAAATATTTCAATTTTTTGTGCAGATAAGTGACATTAAAAGAGTAGCAGTAGGGCCAGGTAGGCTTGATGGCCCTGGGAGGCAGAGGCAGGTGCATCTTTGAGTTTAAGGCCAGCCTGGTCTACATAGTGAGATTCAGGACAGCTAGGAGTACATAGTGAAATCATTTCAGAGATCTTGTCATTAGCCTTTTTGTTCTCAACATATAAGTGAATGGCAGGTATGAAATAAGGTGTAAGTTGGTTGCTGGTGGCACACGCCTTTAATCCCAGCACTTGGGAGGCAGAGTCAGGTGGATCTGAGTTGGAGGCCAGCCTGGTCTACAAAGCAAGTTACTAGACAGCCAGGGCTACACAGAGAAACCCTGCCTTGAGACCCAACCCCCCACAAAAAAAAAAAAAAAAAGGAAAAAGAAAAAGAAGTAAGGTTTAAGTTCTGATTGGGCCCTTTTATACATCTCCATCTCCCTCTCTGGCCTCTGCCTCCCTCACTAAGATGAGGTGATTAGATAATGAAGACAACATGTACAAAGCACTCCTTTAAAAATGATTTCACTTGAAGCTGGGTGTTGAGCTCACAATGCTACTAAGCATCCCAAAGGCTGGGGCAGGAAGCCATCTAAGAGAGGACACGGCCCAAGAGAAGTGATCACTCATCTGGTAGAAAGCAGCACCCACTTTCTGTGCTAGGACTTTCCTGATTTTAGTACTCAGAGTCCTGTGTCATGTCCTGGGAACTCTTCTGTCACCAAACAGCCCATGACTCTCAGTTGCCCTCAGCAGAACACCAGCATCCATAGTTCCAACAGTCTCCCTCCCTGGGCTGCATTGGTGACTGCTTTTAATGAGCTTGTACAGCCTTTCTGTGGTTCAGGCACAGAGCTCTCTGAAAGTCCTTTAATAATGCTGGGCACCAGTTCTAACACAGAGCTGTCTTAAGTTCCATAATTGTAAACACTGTTGAACTGCACAGAGAGAACTTGGGAATGACTTTGTGGGATATCCCAGGCACTGCAAGTCAAGAATACCAGCAGAAAAGGAAGTCCTGTGCATGGAACTGCAGAGCAGTCCTTAGAGAGTATGAATGGCAGGGAGTTGGGGTTTCACTCCCAGCCTCACTTGTCCTTTGCAGGAGCTTTTCTGTGTGTGTGGAGCCCTCAAGCGGGCACGGCTGGTCCATCCTGGGGTAGCAGAGGTTGTCTTCGTGAAGAAGGATGATGCAGTCACTGCGTACAAGAAGTACAACAACCGATGTCTGGATGGTAAGTTAGAGGGGAGCTGCCATGGTGCTCTCCTCTATTTTTAAGCAGTAGGCTTTTGGGTTGAGCTGTCCTCTGAGGTTGGCATAAAGACATCTTGGGGAGCTTGCTCCCTTGCCATCTTCTGGGTAACAAGAAGAGGCAGTGATGTGCACTCTGTGGATGACTATCTTAAGGGTCTTGCTGGGAAAGCCAGGTTTCACATTTGGGCTTGCTGAGACATAGGTTTCTCAGAGGCCTGGAGTCTTGGCTGTATGTTGTCTTCTGGTTGACATCTACCAGTGAGTAAACTGCTTTTTATGTCTCAAGCTAAATAGTCAAAGGAGCTCTGTGTCATGCTCCTTTCCAATTGCTCATTGTGTATGTGGTGAGAGCCAGCTGAGGACCAGGGACTAGGATCATGGAGTCAGAGAATAATAGACAGCTTTGGTGTTCTGGTTTACATGTGCTTATCTGCCATGTGTGTATCTTCTAGAGAAATGTCTCCAGTCTATAGTTAGATTCCTTTTTGGGTTTTGAAGCAGGGTTTTTCTGTGTAGCCTGGCTGTCCTGGAACTCACTCTGTAGACCAGGCTGGCCTCAAACTCAGATCTGCCTGCCTCTGTCTCCTGAGTGCTGGGATTAAAGGCGTGCTGGCTGGATTCTCTTTTTGTTTTTATTTTTTCAGTCCTGAGTTGTAAAGGTTCTTCGTATAATCACAAGACAAGGGAGAGAGCTCAGTGGATTAAGTGCAAGCATAAGGACCTGAGTTGAGGTTCCCTGCACCCATATAAAAGGACGCATGCTTCTACAATACCACAGCTGTTGGTACAGGGACAGATGGCTGGATCTGTTGCTAGGGTTTTCTGGTCCTGCCAGGTCCCACCACCCTTGAGCCCCAAATAAACACATGGAGATGCTATATTAGTTACAAAACTGTTAGCCGATGGCTAGGGCTTCTTATTGGCTAGCTCTGTCTTATTAACCCATTTCTATGTATTTCCACATGGTCTTGGCTTACCGGAGAATGCCTGGATCTGTTACTCCTTCCTCAACTACATAGTGTCTCTTCAAGGTGCCTCTGCCTACTTTTCCCAGAATTCTCGTCTCTTAGTCCCACCTATCTTCTTGCCTCTATTGGCCAGACAGTGTTTTAGTCATCAACCAATAAGAGAAACATATATAGAAAGACAACCCCTATCATGGATCCTTAGTTTGCTAGCCAGTTAGTGAGAGACCCTGTCTCGAACAATAAGTGAATACACAAATAAACATGAAATGAATAATAAGGTGAAGTGTAGTAGAGGAAGACACTGATGCTAACTTCTGGCCTCCACGTGCACACATGCCCACCCCTACACCATGCGGTCAGGTCTTTGAGTAAGTAAATGGTGGTATACAGCTATTTTCTCTCGTTCTGCAGGGTGTTCTATGTCTCTCTGTCTCCCACAACCCTATTCCTTTTTCTTTATAGGGGTGGTAGTATTTGTTTGCAAACAGCAGGGTCTCACACTATAACTCAGTCTGCCTCTACTTCCCAAGGGCTGGGATTACAAGTATGCAACACTAGGAGTAACATCATTTTATTTCATTTTGTGATTTTTTTCCCCCCCAGTGTTAGGGATCCAAAGGCCTCACACATGCTAAGAAAACACCTTCCTCCTGAGCTCCAGCTCCAGCCTGTGCCTTTAACTAGCAGCATTGACTAGACATGCAGTTCTTCCCTTCCTGTGACCATTTCTATTTGGTTTTTTTGAGGGGGGGCAGGGGTTCGAGACAGGGTTTCCCTATGGCTTTGGAGGCTGTCCTGGAACTAGCTCTTGTAGACCAGGCTAGTCTCGAACTCACAGAGATCGGACTGTCTCTGCCTCCCGAGTGCTGGGATTAAAGGCGTGCGCCACCACCGCCTGGCCTTGTATTTTTGGTTTTTGTTTTTTTATTTTTTTTCCTGTGACCATTTCTAAATTATAGCTCAACTGTCTAGACTGTGCTGCGTAGTTACAGGACAGCCTAGTCTACCTAGTTGGACCTTGCTCAAACAAGATAAACTCATTATAGGGTTATTAGTTGGTCTGATTTCAGTGTTATGTTTCAAAGAATAGGCGGGCCAGAAAGAGACAGGAATGGCTAGTCAGTGGGCAGCCAGAGCACTGTATACATATCATACAGTACACAGGACAGATGTGATAACACTGTCCAGGCAGGGCAAAATCACCAAAACATGACAGAGGCCTGACGGTGGTTGCACATGCCTTTAATCCTAGAAGTCAGATCTCTGTGAGTTCAAGGCCAGCCTGGTCTGTAGAGTGAGTTCTAGGACAGGCTCCAAAGCTACACAGAAACTGTCTTGAAAAACCAAAACAAACAAAAAAGTGAGAGACTTAGAGTGACCACTGCTCTTGCAAAAGTGGCCCAGATAACCTCATTCATTCAGGATACTAGGAGCCTTCAGTTTGGAGAAAGGAAGGGGTGGGGGATAAGTCCTTCAAGTCATTGTAGTGCAGAGCATGGTGCAGTGGGCTGTGCCTGAGGTCACAGTATGGATTCAGTCCAGTCTAACCTTTGCTTTCCTTTAAGTGGATTCACTGATCCTCCCACATGCTACTAATAATTAGATTTTTGGTTCCTTGAATGAGTTCAGTGTATGTTTTGAATCGTTTTCTTTATGGTTGTTCAAGAGTTTGCAGTGCACATTGTATGGTCATAGCATAAATGTTTTCCTTCCTGTGTACCTCACAGACTTGTTTGTGCATAATTCCTTCCCCATCCTACAGTCACTGACTCCAGTGTGAAGCAGAGTTCTGGCCTTTTTGCTTCATGGTCTCATTACTGAGGATCCCTTACACTCCAAGGCTTCTTTAGTGTCTACATGTGTTAGTGTGTTTTCTGTTGCTGTGATGAAATACTTGAGGCTATATTTTTATATAAAAAAGAGGTTCATTTGGGGTTTTCAGAGGCAGCACAAGCATTGGTTTGGCTTAGGCAAGGACTTACTGAACCAGGCCTATTCTCATTACGCAGTACACCATACTCAGGGATCACACATTTCACAAGAGATGAAGTGTATTCTTAGCAAGAGAAAGCATGGAGATGAGAGAGGAGAGACATCTCAAATCACCCTCCAAGGATAAAGTTCCGGGATCTCGTGGGTGAAAGAGTCAGTGTGGTCTAAGGTATAGGTCAGACTTAATAGTCCTAGAGGGTGTACATTCAGAAAATGGCCAGTTAGCTGCCCCCAAACCTACATGTTAGATAGCTTCTGTTTGTTCCACAGGAGGTACTCCGGGCTGGCTGTAAACTTGGAATCTTCCTGTCTGTATCTCTCAGTACTTAGGTTTCAGACCTGGGCCACCATGTCTGGCTCCAGTGGTAGAATGTGACCCTTGGTCATGGTGTTGGTGACCTTTGTCCTCTTATGAGGAACAGGCCTCTTGATGTAGACTTTTCCTTGTTTTGTTTCCAGGGCAACCCATGAAGTGCAATCTTCACATGAATGGGAATGTCATTACCTCAGAGCAACCCATCCTGCTGTAAGTGCCAATGGGACAGGCTGGAAAAAGGTCTCTCCTTGTTTACTCTGCATACTCACTCTTCTTTCTGTTCTAAAGGCAAAGCGCTTCATCACCGCTTCTTTTGTTCTCCATTCCATTTCCTCTGTTCTGATCCCCAGTGGTCAATCAGGGGGCTTGTCCCAGCCTGTTCCCAAGGTCTAAAAACAGTGAACTAATATGACAGTGTCTAGCACCTCTGAGGGGAGTGGAAAGCAAACCAGTCCCCTCCCCTTTGTGTGACTGACATCTTCCAGGTGAAAAGTAACTGTGCTGAGCTGGTGCTGGAGCACTCCTGGGCACATGTGTCTGGCTTACTGTTGAGGACTTTTGGAGCCTGAGATGCATAGGGTGTTGCGGCTGGCAGGATAGAATTTTCTTGAAAAGGGGCAATATACACAAGGAGAAGGTGAGACTTGCCAAGGTAGATGGAATTGTGCCAGGCAGGCCTAGAATAGATTTGAACATGGAAAGGCAGGATTTGAACCTGGGTAATCGACAGTGATCAAACAAATCTGTAAAACTGTCCCAGGAGTAGGGTGTTTTTTAGGAATGTTTTGGAAAGAGCCTGGAGAGAAGCTCAGTAATGAGACTGCTTGTTCCTCTTGCAGAGGACCTAGGGTTGGTTCCCCATGTTGGGCATCTCTAAACCATCTGTGTCCCATGCACAGACACACATGTAAACATGGTTTAAAATTTAAAAAATAAAAATATTGAAGATTTTTATGACCTGGTAGGTTAGGAAGTCATTGGGCTTGCCGGCATTAATGTGGTTGGATTAGGTTAGACTTGGAAAGATTGTGTAATGTGTGACCATCCAGAAGAACAGGCAGTATTTCTAGACTTGAAACTCCAGCACTCAGCAGACTGCAGCTAGGTCCCCTCCAAGATGAAGTCCCCTCCAAGATAGGTCCCCTCCAAGATAGAGGGGTGTGGAGAGCATTACATTCCGTGCCCAGATCCCAACAGATGCTCAGTGGTGAGATGTAGCCCCACCTAAGGAGAAACTGACAAGGATTTGGTTCTCTGCCCTCACAGGCGGCTGAGTGACAGCCCCTCGGTGAAGAAGGAGAGTGAGCTGCCTCGGCGGGGGAATGCTGCCTCCTCTTCCAACCCTCCTGCTGAAGTGGATCCTGACACCATTCTCAAAGCTCTCTTCAAGTCCTCGGGGGCCTCTGTGACCACACAACCCACAGAATTCAAAATCAAACTTTGAGGAGGGGAGTGAGGCAGCCAGAAACAGGGCAGAGGAGGGTGGCTCTGTTTCCCAAGGCAAAGCTTGTGACCAATGGGCCGTTGGACTGAAGCCCCCTGAGCAAGGGTCAAGGCACCAGGGAGTGCTTCCTCACTGGACGGGACCCACCTTTCTGTATTGTTCCATACCTTGCCCTTCTGTGGGTTACATTTCTATCGTATGTTTCCTCTTTCCTCCACTCATCATGGTAGGCTGTGTTTGTACGCGTGTCTCCCCTCCCCTCGGCCCCAAGCTGATTTCTTCCCTAGGAATGGTGCACTGTTTTCCTGGGTAGCCATGGGACACAGAGCACTGGAGCTGTTGGAGAGGCTGCTTTTTTGTTGTTGTTGTTTGGTTGTTTGGTTTTCAGGAGTTTTCTTGTTCTGTTGAAGTTTTACAAAGAAAACAGAATAAAGGTGACCTCCTGCCATTTGGTGGGCAGTAGATCAGCTGGGAGCTGCATTAGGTTACTGGCTTCTTGTCTTCTCACTACCATCATCATCAACCTGACTCCTAATGTGGGGAACTCTGTGATGGGGGCAGGTAGGGTGACTGTGTTGCCAGTTCCTGGCTGCCTGTGTTGTCCTGGGCAGCTCAAAAGGATTTCCCAGGGTTCATGTTCCCTTGTTAGAGTAGTGCCGAAGGCCCTGGCCCAGTTCTGTGCTTCCAGATAGGAGCACAGTCAGGGACCTGTGCCTTTAGCCCTCTTTGTTCTCACCTGACAGGGCAACACTACAGCCTGGTTTTGGTGCAGGTACCAGCTCCAAATTAGTTGGGCCTTTTTCTAGGTTCTGCCCCTAGGCTGCAGCACAGTGGGCTTTCAAGAGATTGATTGAGTAGGAGCTGTTGGCTACCTCTAGCTAACGCTGCCTTTCTGGCTTCACTTATCTACAGAACAGCAGTCAGGATTGCCCAAAGGAAAAATGCCACTATGGCATTGTCTCTGTTAGTGTAAGTGACCTACACTGCCATGAGTGGTCTGAGAGTAGAGTCGGCCTACCAGGCAAGCTGGTGGGCTATTTTCTACAGCATGCTCCTAGGCTGTTAGTGCAGAACTATGGAACTTAGGCAGGTGCTGAGTGTCAGGCAGCACCATTTCAAAGCTGGGCAGTAGTCCTCTGACAATGGGAAAAGGAGATTCTAAGCTCTTATAGCTGGAGCGGGGTTCTAAGGGCACACACATCAGTAAAGGAAGCCGAGACACTATGACCCTCTCAAGGCTAGCCCAGTAAAGAGAACTTCAATTAATTTATCTTCTCCTGGAGTTTGATCTGCCCTGCTTGAAGTATCTAGTTTGAGCCAACATCAGTCATTTAGCTCTGAGGGTGCCCAGCCAAGGGATCCAGGAATGGCATCTGGGGTGCTCCATTCTTCTGTTCAAAGAAGTCTGCTTCTCTTAAACCCTTCTAAGTGGGTACAAACTTAAACCCTTCTAAATGGGTACAAACTTAATTCATTTCAGCAACTAGAAGACATTCCTCCATGCTTCACCCTTCCTGACCCAAGAGAACACCCGAAGACACTAGGGCCTAACTTTTCTGCCTGTGGGAACAGTTGGCACACTTTCTGCTTTGTGTAGAGTAGGGATGGCCTAGACCTTTCGTGGTTCCCCTGCTCTTTTTGAACCAGGCATGCTCAGAACAGCACAGTTGAACTGAGTCAGCCTCCTGGCTATGTGCTACTTTGTGGGGGTGAGGCTGGAGGTGGGGTAGGGTGGGGAGGGCGTGCCTCCCCTGCATTTTACAATGTCTCCTTGGGAAACAGAAAAGGTGGGCCAACCCTCATGCCCCTCCCCTCCCTTGCATTACTTCTGTGTGTCTTGTTCAGGAGAGAAAGACATTGCGGGATGGAGGGGCTTGTTACTTTCCATTTCTCAATAAATGTTTGTTATTCCTAACTTTGAGCTGTGATGTCTTTTTAAATTGCTTTTACTATATTTACTTTTTGTGTGTGCATTTCATGATCCATGTGTGATAGTCAAGGGTCCACTGGGAGCCCATTCTTCGCTTCCACCATGTGGATTCCATGGATGAAACTCAGTTTATTAGGCTTAAGGGTGAACACCTTTACCTACCAAATAGGCTTGTTGGCCCTGGGCTATAATTGTGTGTGTGTGTGTGGGGGGGGGTGTTCAACTGCTGAGTCATCTCTAACCTCAAGACAAATTATTCTTTTGGTTTTTCAGGGTGTCTCTAACAATCTTGGCTATCCTCGAACTTGCTTTGTAGACCAGGCTAGCCTTGAACTCACTGAGATCTGTCTGCCTCCAGAGTGCTGGGATTAAAGGTGTGCACCACCACCGCCTGGCTTCTAGGCAAAATCTTTGTCTTAAGACCATGCCGGCCTCGAACTCACAGAGATCTGCCTGCCTCTTCCTCCCAAGTGTTGGGATTAAAGGCATGAACCACCAACACCCAGCTTCTAGGCAAATTCTTCACTGAGCCTCTAACATCAAAAAATATGTACTTCCAACATATGTTACAGAATGCACATTCCCATTCTAAAAGGGAGGAATGAGGACCTAGTAAAGAAAGATTGAACCAAAGCAAGATCAAAACCCTGCAGTACAAACACCAAATCCTATAGCTCCGTGTCCAGTAATGGAGGCTGCCATTTCAGAGGGTTTAGAGGGCTCTGCCCCTCCAGCGTTGCTGTCTGCAACAACTCTGGCCTGTTCCACTTCCTGTATGTAGCTTTCTGTCACATGTCCTCGGCTCCGATATCTCCATCATCTTGGGTTCCCTAATGCAACCCAGGCTTCACTAATAGTTGTCTATGTGATAGCCTATGTGCTGCATTCCAACTCTGCCACACACACCAACACTACATATAGATACTGCCAGGCCTGGCCAACTTGGGTTGAGCCCTGGCCCCTTGGAGCATTGGTGGCAGCTTCTGTGTGGAAGCTGGTAAGCTTCTCTAGGCAGTTGCTGTCTAGGCACAGAAAATCACTTTGTTTCCTCCTCTCACACTTGGAGGCTGGGCAAGGAGTGGTATTTTGGGTGCAGAGCAGGAGGCATCCAGAGAACCTGCACTAACTGGAAGTTACAGCCTCTTTCAGCACGTACTGGGCTGCAGCACAAGGGTTCTCCAGCTGTTCCTCTCCAAGTTCCTCTGCCCTAGTTGCTGTGTAGACTTTATGAGAGTAACCATGGATAACAATGCCATAGACTGGGTGTCTTAGTCTTCTCTGCCAAATAAATCTGTTTTGAAAATTCAGCCTGAGGCAAATTCTCAGGACATGGACAGAATGCTGGCAGAGTCTGCCAAAATAGCACATGAATGGCCCCTAGCTCTGTTCTGTTAAAGAATCCTCATCCCTCCCCTCCCCCCAAACTCACAAGCCAGGCCACTGCTCTTCACATTTCTCTTGAGTATTATCCTCCAAGTTCCCACCAGAATGGCCCATTAAGTCTGCTTCCAACATTAAGCACTTTGTCCTGCCCAGAGTCCAAATGCCCACAAAATAGTCCCAAAAGCATAAAATAAACGCCACGTGGTCAGATTTATTAGAGCAACAGTACACTCCTGCTGGGTTACATGGTTTTTTGTTGCTGAGGTAAAACACTCTCAAAAGCAAGGAAGGGTTGAATTTTGCTTACAGGTCCAAAGGGATACAGTCTGTTTCAGCAACAAAGGTAAGAGCAGTCAGCTGGTCTAATGACATTTTCATCCACCAAGCTCTCAAAGCCTGCATCCTGTCTCAAAGTCTATGTCTCCTAAAAGATCTCTTAGCTTTCCCAGACATACATGAACCTAGGAGGATGTTTCTTTAAACCACCAATGACTTTAGTGGACTTAAGCCAGAATGTAAGCCTTTCTATTTGTTTTTCTGAGGCAAATGTGTACTTCTGGCTGACCTGGAACTCACTCTGTAGACCAGGCTGGCCTAGAACACAGAGATCAACCTGCCTCTGGCTCCCGAGTGCTGGGATTAACAACAGCATGTGTGACCACCACCTGACCTTTCTTTTTTTAACTTTGCAAACTTATTTATTGGTTTTTTAAGACAGGGTTTCTCTGTGTACTCACTTTGTAGACCAGGCTGGCCTCGAACTTAGAGATCCACCTGCCTCTGCTGGGATTCAGTTGGGTTTTCTGGAGGCATTTTCTCAGATGAGGTTGCTTCCTTTTAGATAACTAGCTTGTGGCAAATTGACATAAAACTAGCCAGTACACTAGCTATGAGGCCTGTTTGCTCCAGTATAGACTGACCTAGGCATTTGTTCACATAGAACAAAAGGAGCTGGTGTCTTGCTCTGAAGAAATTAAACTTGAAGGAATACTTCACTGTTCGGGTGAGGTATGACATCAGAAAAGTAGTTATTTGCTGATAGGGATAGAATAGAATAGTACTTAGCTTTACCCCTCCTCCGACTAAAAAGCCCTAAATATTTTGTAGAGGAAAATGGGACTCAAGGCTTTCAACTTAATGTAGATGAATCAAGGTTTGGGAGAAAAAAAAAAAAAGACAAAAGGCTGGCTGTAACACAGGTGTTTAAATAAATCTAGAGTCCATACAATACCCAAAACGTCCATGTCTCGGGTGACAATGGCTCACAAGAACCAACAAATCTTCCATGGACATATAAACTCCTGGATGGCAGAGGTTGTAGAATTAAGGCTTTTTAATTTTCTTTTAAAAGATTTTATTTATTATGTATATGACATTCTGCCTCTACGTATGCCTGGACGCCAGAAGAGGGCACCAGATTTCATTACGGATGGTTGTGAGCCACCATGTGGTTGCTGGAATTGAACTCAGGACCTCTGGAAGAGCAGCCAGTGTTCTTAACCTCTGAGCCATCTCTCCAGCCCCGCTTTTAAATTTTCTTACTATTTATTTTTTGGTAAGGTTTTGCAATGTCACTTTCTAGCCAAGACTGGCCTTGGACATATAATCTGATCCCCCAACCCCAACCTGAGAATGGGGATTTACAGATGTGGTACAGCTCCAACTTTAAGAACAATTTTAAAGTAGCCATCAAAAAAAATAGTATAATGGACAATTATGAATACACACTTGAATGAAAATTTGAAAGGCTTAGCCAAGAAAATCCCTTTAGAATTAAAATAACAAGTAAAGGGGTGGGAAGAAAAACAGAGCAGTGAACTTGGAGGTTCAACACTAGACACTGGGCTAAGATAAACTCAGCTGGTTAAGGAGCTTTTCTAGCAGCATGAAGCAATGTACATAATCACCCTGGTGGTACATATGTTTATTCCCAGCACGTGGGGAAATGGAGGCAGGAGGATCAGCGTTCAGGCCTCTGTAGGCTAAGTGAGACCTCTGCCTCAAAGAAAAAGGTTTGAAAACAGGCTCTCACTGTAACCTCACATGTATCCTCTTGCTTCAGCTGGGATTATAGCCATACCCAGCTGGGAAAAGTATATTTGAGCTCAATTCAATTCGTAAAAATTTAAAATTCTAGAGTCCGGTGTGATCGTGCACACCTTCAATCCCAGCACTTGGGAGGCAGAGACAGACGGATCTCTCTGCGATTGAAGCCAGCCTGGTCTACTGGCTCCAGCTCCAGGACAGCCAGGGTTACATGCACATCTTTTGTTTGTTTTTTTATAAATTTTAACTTGCAGGAGAGGATAATGAAGTGCAAGTGGAGGTCAGAAGATAACCAGTGTAAGAACCTTACATTTGGGGCTGAAGAGATGGCTCAGAGGTTAAGAGCACTGACTGCTCTTCTAGAGATCCTGAGTTCAATTCCAGCAACCACATGGTGGCTCACAACCATCTGTTATGAGATCTGGTGCCCTCTTCTGGTGTGCAGATATACATGGAAGCAGAATGTTGTATACATAATAAATAAATAAAATCTTTTTTTTTTTTTTTTTTTTTTAGTTTTTGCAAGTCAGGGTTTCTCCGGGGGCAACTACCGAGGCTGTCCTGGCACTCGCTCTGGAGACCAGGCTGGCCTCAAAAATTAAATCTTTAACAAAAAATCTCTACTTCTAATGTAGATTTCACTTCTAAAAAAAACAAAAAAAAAACAATACATCTGGATGACCACACCCTCCTAATGACAGGCAGGCACGCACAGGAAAACTTGCTAAGTCATCTAAGCCATCACCACATCATCCGCCATGCATTGTGGCCTTCGTGAGGACTCTATGCACGTGCAACCTTTCCTTTAAAAGGTCCAGCCTTCCTTCCATCTTTCTCTCTCTCTTTGGCTCCTCTTGGGTTGGCTGGCAACCCAGCTCCATCTCCCGCTCCCTCTTCAGGTAAATAAACGTGGGTTGTCCATCCATTGTTCCTTTCTTTATATCAGCAGCTACAGCTTAAACAAAAGAATAACTCCAGGCGGTGGTGGTGCACGCCTTTAATCCCAGCACTCGGGAGGCAGAGACAGGCGGATCTCTGTGAGTTCGAGACCAGCCTGGTCTACAAGAGCTAGTTCCAGGACAGCCTCCAAAGCCACAGAGAAACCCTGTCTCCAAAAACAAAAACAAAAACAAACAAACAAACAAAAACCCACCAGGAGTCGGTTCTCTCCTTCCATGGATAGATCAGGATGTCCAGATTGATGGCAAGTGCCTTCACCCACTGCCAAGGCTTTTCTTTGCTTAAGTCTCTCAGCCCCAGGCTACTCACGCTCTTGTTCTCTCATAATCGAATTAACTACCAAGGAGAGACTTATGTATCTCTCCTCTCTACTCAAAATCCCAGTGGCTCCTCTCAGTTGCACGGCGATTCAAAGATTTGTGTTTTATTTCCGTGTCTGTCTGCCCCCTGTGTATACTGTGCCCACAGGACCAGAAGAGGGCGTTAGATCTCCCTGGAACTGGGGTTGCCGACAGTTGTGAGTGATCTGAAGCAAACCAGGATCTTTTGGAAGAGCAGCCTGTGTTGTTAACCTCCGAGTCTTCGTTCCAGTCTCACCCTCGCCCCCTCAACACCCCATCTCAATTGCACTCCCACTTTGACAAGGAAGGAAAAATCTTGAAGCTGGGCAAGATCCGGGAGGCGGGCCTAGGGCTGAGAAGGCGGAGCCCCACGTGGCGCCGTCGTCGTGGAAACAGCGGCACCAGAAAGCGGAACTACAACTCCCGTCCGTCCCTGCGCTTCGGTCCACAAGATGGTGGCGCGCAAGAGGAAAGCTGGAGCGTGCGGCCATGAGGGGAGCACACCCAGCCCACCGGGTTATTCAGGTGAGCAGCTAAGGAGGGCCGGCGACTGACCTCTTCGCAGGGAGGTGGCGGGAGGGTAATGGAGGCTACAGCAGCTCTTCAGGCCTCAGGGCACAGGAGCCTGCTGTATGGGTCCTGGCCACAGACTCCGAAGGCGTCCTAAGAGAGGCCTTGCGAGTGCTTCCTCCAGGCCGCGTGCAGGGTCTACCACAGGAGTTTGTCACCGCTGACCTGCTCCTGTCCGATTCTTCAACAAGCGCTTCCTGTGTGTGGTGGCCACAGCTTTATAGAAACCCTAGGAAAAGCTTCCCTAGCTTTATGGAGACTGGCATCCCACGGTGTAGACTTCCTGGGAAGGTGGGGCTAGCTCGGCATGAGGGGTCGGAGCGCGTCAGTCCTAACCTGAAGAATGGGTGGAGGGAAGAGGGTTGGTGTGCCAAGCAGAACAGCCAGTGCCATGGTGTGAGGGGCTGAAGGTGTGAGGCAGCGAGTACCCCAAGAGTTCAGAACCTCTGGCCTCTGGCTCACTGCCCCCGCCTGCGGACCGTGATTACCTGACTACGTTCTCTCTAGCTCCCCGTGGGTGGGTGGACGAACAGGCGGGAGGTGGAGTTAGAAGGGGACACAGAAAGGAACTTGTGTGACATAGATAGCTTTTCCCTTTTAGCTATTCCTGTCAAGTTCACCAAACAGCAGCAGGCTTCCCATTACCTGTATGTGAAACAGCACAGAGTTCGAGGAGACACTCAGTCCACGTGGCCTCCTAATAAGACCCTTTTTGTCCTCAATGTGCCCCCGTACTGCACAGAGGTAAGCACCTAGCAGTGGGTTCTGAATGGGGGCTTGCAATGGATCCTACAAAGTTCTGATGGTCAGGCGGAAATGCCAACACACCCCCAATGGAGAATGTTGAAAAGACCTGGGCCCTCAGAATATCAGCGTTTTTATTTATTTTTTTACCTGTCCAGACAGGGTCTATTCTCCTATAGGTTGTTCTGCGACTCACCAGGTAGCCCAGGCTGGCCTCAGACATGCTATACTCCTGCACCGCCCCACCACCTCGACTCATTACAGTTAATGAGTTGTCACACCGGCTTTGCAATGAATTATCCTCCCAACGATCTTTTTGTTTACTTTTTTGTTTTAAAGAAAATCTACCAAAAATCAGGTGCAGTTCTGTCTAGACACACTGATTTTTCCCAGAAACTATTACATTTATTTACTTTTTTTTTTTTTTTTTTACTGTGTTTTGTTTCAGATAGAGTTTCTTGTAGCCTGAGCTGGCTTCATACTTACTTTTTTTTTTTAAGATTTTATTTATTATGTATACAATGTTCTGCCTGCATGTTAGCCTGCAGGCCGGAAGAAGGCACCAGCTCTCATTATAGATGGTTGTGAGCCACCATGTGGTTGCTGGGAATTGAACTCAGAACCTCTGGAAGAGCAGTCAGTCCTCTTAACCTCTGAGCCACCTCTCCAGACCCCCCTGGCTTCATACTTATTATATAGTTGAGACTGGCCTTGAACTCCTGGTCCTCCTCTCAAGCTTTGGGATTACAGGCCTGTGTCACCACACTTAGTTTAAAAAGGAGGTTGAAGACTGGCAAGATGACTCGAGTAAAGGCACTTGCCACCATGTCCCATAGTCTGGGCTTGATCTCTGGTATGTGCACAGTGGAAGGGGAAAACTGGCTCTTGCAGGTTTCCTCTGACTCTACACATGTAACATGAAATCCACATATGCCTGTGCACAAACATGCAAACAAATACAATTAAAAAACTTTAAATTCTTCCACCTGCCTCCTGAGTGCAGAGAGGTGTGTGTCACCATGCCTGGTGGGGTGGATTATTTTTTTGAGAAGAGAAATCCTAGAGCTAGGGATATAGCTCAGTGGTAGGGTGCTGGCCTGGCATTCAGGAGGCCCTGGGTTCAGTCCCCAGCACCACATAAGTCAGATTTGGAGGGCAGCAGATCAGAAGTTCAAGGCCAACCCAGACAACAGGTGGGAGAGAATGGCTGGTGTGTATAGTTTCTTCATGTCTGAAGCTGACCACACCTGTGTGTAGTCAGCACAGAACCTAAGAAGTCCCTACATACTCTTCCTGCCAAAGCTTATCACCATCCCAAGCCCAGCACCTGAGTTGATTCTCTCAGACTCAGGTGGGAAAACTTAATTAGTTGTCATCTGAAGTCGGTGGCACTGAAAGTCCTTACTTATGTTTCATCACAGGCTAGAAACATCTGCCTCCATGTTGTCTTGGGAACTTGGGATACCTAGACCCCCTGGGTTATGTAGACCTGGCCCCTAAGTCCTTAGGTGCTGTTTTGGATGTCAGGAGGCTCTGAGGAGCCTGTGTGTGCTCATGCTCTGCTTCCCTCTGGCATGGCAGGAGTGCCTGTCCCGACTCCTGTCCTCCTGTGGCACCATCAAGACAGTCGACTTGAAAGAGAAGCCTGACCATGCTGAGAGCCCTAAAGAGGCAAAGTCGAAGTTTTTTCACCCCAAGCCCGTTCCGGTAGGCTGTGCAGTACCACCAGGTTGCACTGAGTAGGGGAAGGGGGTGGAGCCTGGGTGGGCTCAGCAGTAGACTTTGTGGCCCTCGGGTGGTCTCTGCAGTGTGTGATTTAGGAGGTTGTCAGGGATATGGCCTCTGATTCTCTCAGATGTGTCACATTCTTTGACTTCCTGCCTGTTTCCTTCTCTGCCCTGAAGTCTCCCAGAGCCCTTCTCCCACTTGAGTAGCTTTCTCCTCAGGACTGGTGCCCTGGCTCCAGGAGTCCTGCTCCTGTCCCCTCTCCCCAGTCCCTCAGTTATCCTTGTGGTACAAGGGAGTCTGACCCTGAGTTTATGCCTTGTCAGTTTATGACCCTAGCCTGGAGTGAGCCTGCTTTTCACTGAGTCCTCAGATGTACCAGCAGCAGTTGGCTAGCTAGGAGCATGACTGTCCTTCACCCAAACTGAGATGACAAATGATCCCGTGACCCAGGGCAGGTATGGGGATCTTGTGCCACAGTAGGAAGGCTCCACGTTGACTTCTCTCCTCACAGGGCTTTCGGGTAGCTTATGTGGTATTCCAGAAGCCAAGTGGAGTGTCAGCTGCCTTGAATCTGAAGGGCCCATTGCTGGTTTCTACAGAGAACCACCCTGTGAAGACCGGGATTCATAGTCAGTACCGCTGGCAGTGTTCAGTGCTTCCTCCCCAGGCCTTGGGTTGGTGAGAGACACTTAATGGGGGCAGCATCTGTGGATGCCACAAGCTAAGTTCCCCTCTTCGTAAAGGCCCTGAGCTGGCAGAGATGTGTCTGAGACACATCAGGAAATAGCCTGAGCCTTTGGCATCAGGTTAAGAGCCCAGCCAGTTGCCACTAGAACCTTTTTAGCACCTCAACCACAAGTCTCTGGACTCTAGGGGCCTCTGCTAGAGGATCCCTGTTTGCCAGTCATGTCTGGGTGAAGCCGGAATATCCACTACGAGCTGGTCACTTCTGTACAACTATACTGCAGGCAAAGTGAAGAGCACCAACATGAGACAGACAGCAAAACATCATAAAAACAGTGCTCACAGCACCCAGGGCAGCTGTGGCTGGAGTAGCCTGACTGAGCAGACCAGGGGAACAGCATCAAATGGGGGTTGGGAATGCTCCAGAGGGACTAGGAGGTAGGTGGCTCCATCAGCAAGCACCTGCCTTCCCTGTCCCACTGCACTTCTTTATGTCATGGCATAAAATAGTGACATCTGATGGAAGCAGTTTGCCTGCTGTTTTCAGGGACTCTAGCTGCTTGCTGCTTTTCCCTCTCTGCTACAAAACCACGGATCCAGGCTGACGCAGATGAGGTTTTGGAAGAAGCAAAGGAAAGCCTCTTAGAGTCTGCTCTCTTTTTTCCCTTTCCTTTTTTAATTTTTAAAGATTTTACTTTTGTGTGTTTGAGTACCACTAGTGTATCTCATATCCCAGGATGTCAGAAAAGGGTGCAGCTCTAGAACTAGCGATATGGGTGGTTGTGAGCCACTGTGTTGGAGCATGGAACTGAACCTAGGTCTAATGCAAGACCAACATAGCTTTTAAGAGCCGAGCCATCTCTGGTCCCCAGAGTCCACTTGCAACTCGTGCAAACATTACTTGAAGTTTTCCCAGTGCAATTTATGTTACACCATGTTTCCTTCTCCCTCAGAGTGGATCAGTGAGTATCAAGATTCAGTATTAGACCCAGAGGCCCTGAGGGTCGAAGTAGACACATTCATGGAGGCTTATGACAAGAAGATAGCTGAGGTAGGGGTTTGTGTATGGCCCCCACTTATCAATGTGTGCAGCCATGGGGAGGAGGCACCACAAGTATTGTGGGTTGTAGTGTGGTGCCTGAGAGAGAATGGTGGTGGCAGCCTTTCCTTGGTTACCATAGGGAGTGCAGGCTCCTATATGTGCTTGCTGAAACCTGGGCCACCTGGCTGGGTGACATCGATGCTAACTGGTATGCAGGTGAGGGAAATGTCATGATATGTCTGTTTGTCAACACTTATTGTGGGGGCACTCAGGCCAGCAGACAGTGTGTGCCCAAGGTGGTTTACTGCAGGAGGCGGCAGTGGGCCTCTAGGCAACCGTGCATCCTGCTGCTGCAGAGCGCTGCCCATCAACAGTCTCTTCCATGCAGGAGGAGACCAAGGCCAAGGAGGAGGAAGGTGTTCCTGATGAGGAGGGCTGGGTGAAGGTGACCCGCAGGGGCCACAGGCCTGTGCTCCCTCGAACAGAAGCAGCCAGCCTGCGTGTTCTCGAGAGGGAGAAAAGGAAACGTGCACGCAAGGAGCTGCTCAACTTCTATGCCTGGCAGCACCGAGAGACCAAGATGGAGCGTAAGGGACACCTGAGGGCAGCCTACAGGCCTGGTGCAGGGAGCAGGGTGTCCTCAGGCACATCCTCTACAGGCTGAGGGTCCGAGTCCCTGTCCACAGTGCCCCTACTGCTCCCCAGACATAGATAGTACTTCCCTGGGGGCAGAAGCACATGGGGAAGGGACCTGTCAGCCCCCAACCAGAAGGTGTCTGACCACAGAGTTCTGAGGGACTGGATAGTGGGGGTGTATGGGGGACTAGAGCAGCCTACTTGAGTGTTCCATATGGGAGTACATGCTCTTGCTGTTGTCAGCATGCATGCGGCTCACTGGACATTTCTGTGAGTGTGAGGAAGATCAGTCCTCTCCTGAACATGGAGTGCGCTCAACAGCTGCCTTCAGACCAGACATTTGTAGGCACTGACACCTGCCTCACTGTCTCCCACCCCTCAAAGCTCCTGCACTGTCCTGGACCCCAAGCTGCACCTTAGAGATTCAGGTGCCACCTCTGACTTAGGTCACTTGGTGACTGTTTACCTGCTGATTCTGAAGTCCCCTATAACAAGGCTTCATCTAGGGAAAGGGTCCCTGGGACTGCTTCTTCTAGGGGGGGGGAGAAGGGTTAGGAGTCCTGCTTTCTCTGGCACTCTCTTCTCCCTGGTACATTTTCATCTCAAACCTCGCACATGATCATCCCACCTCAGCCTCTAGAGTGGCTGTGGTTAAGTGTGCAGTTCTGTTTCCGTGCAGGATCCCTCTTGATCCAGAGCACAGCAGGAGGAGAGGGGTATGGGGTCAGAGAGGGAGAATTGCGTAGCTGCCCTGGAACATGAGGGTGGGGAGCCCCCTTTAGTGGGGTAGCTGGCAGTTACTGCACAGGTGCTCAGTGTGACACGTGCTGTGTCCCTTCAACCCCCAGATCTGGCACAGCTGCGCAAAAAGTTTGAGGAGGACAAGCAGAGGATTGAACTGATGCGTGCCCAACGCAAATTCCGACCCTACTGAGCTGTTCTGGTCCCTGGAGAGCAGGCTTTGAGAACACAGGACCAACAGGACTGCTCCCTCAGGGACTGATTTGGGAAGCAGACACCAGGCCAAGAAGCTGCTGCTGTGTCTCCAGCTCCATCTCTACACCCACTGGCTGGAAGTGCAAGGCCACAGGTGGATGTGGCCTTCAGAGAGATGGCTCTTCCCTCTCCAGCTTGTAAAGACACCTGGGAAACCTGACTGACTTTCTGCTCCCACCCTTTGCCCTCAATGAAGTCCCCGCCCACAACAGAGTCATTTGCAATGCAGTGAAGATGGGGGAGGATTTTATTGCCACACAGCCTGATACCAGGACGAGCTCCAGAGACTCTTACCCAGTCCTGCTCCCCCAGCGCCACAAGCTCCCCTGTCCCCTTCTTGAAGTCAGATATTAAAGGTCAGAAACATATCCCCATGCTCCTAGCTCTGCCACAGGAGTCTCTGCTGCCCCTCTTGGTGTTTGATACCAGTGAGACCCACACCACATTTAGTGGACTGAGGGTGCTGGACAAATTGTGAACAAGCTCAAAGGCCAGAGCTACAGCCTGGAAGCAGTCCTGGGTTGGCTCTGGAGGAAGGCGCTGACAATTCCAGCCACAAGGTGTTGGTTGTTCATGTGGACGTAGTGATTGCCTGGGATTTCCACATACTGGAACCGCTGGAGAAAGGGGCAGGTGGTGAGATGTTGTTTTTCCAATCAGGAGACTCCATAGCTGACTGCCTCCAAGTAGGTCAGGGACAACCCTCTTCCCAGCAGCCTGGGGACTTGGAGGCTGTTCCAGGAATATAGGCATCTGAGCTGTGAGACTGCAGTGCTAAACTGGGGCAGTTACAGTCAGGGTCCCTGCCAGTTTTGATGGGACATGAAGCACTGTCATCTCCACGAAAGGCAGGGTTCAGGACCGCTCCCACTGCAGAGCACCCCAAATAGGAGAACCCCCTTCCTGGTAGCATCCCTGGGCTGTGTACAAAGGATACAGGCCTAGGAGATTTAAGTGGATGATGACCATAGAGAGCCAGGACCTACACCGGCTCCTGGTTCCAGCACAGGCTCCCCCTGCTCAGTAGCCATCACACTTGCCAATGTGCTGGTGCCAGCATCAGTGGAGGCGAGTGCAGAGCTGCTTCGAAGAGCTGGGCCCCAAGTAATCCTGGCAAGGAGTCAGGTGAGGACAATAAAACTGAGGACCTGCCAACCTAAGCTGTCTCCTTCCTCAACTCCTTGTGTTCTGGGTTTCTGGGGAATGGCCATGGAGGGGTGAGGCCTGCCAACTCCTTGGATACTGAGTGATTGCAACTTGGATGCAAAGTGATTGTCGGTTTCAGAACAGAAGACATGCCCAACCTCTCAGCCTCTTAGGGCACACATCTTACCTCTTTTAGGATGGTTCTTAGTGTGTCCACCATGAAGAATAGGGGTTCCTTGTTCTCATCGTTGGCTCGTCTGACATCATAGTACCCCTGTGTTGCTCTGGGAGCAAAAGGTTGGGGTGTCTCTCAGTGCTGAATCTTAACAGAGCCCTGTGCCATTTCTGGGTTTCAGGACCTGAAGAGCCCATGCCTGGGTAGCCTCTCATTTTCCTTCCGCTATGTCCATGTGAGCCTAGATTGATCCTGAGGTCCAGTCATTTCGTACCAGCTTCCTCTTGGAGCCATAGCAAGCTAGCACAAACGGAATGCCTGTCAGGGAGCAGCTTTCAGTACTGTGGAAAGTGGGGGCCAATGAAAGCTGAGCTGAGATCTGAACTGGCTGCCAAGGCCAGGCTTTCTTAACATAAAACCTCCTGAGGAGAAATGTACACATCACACTACCATCCCCCTGTCTGTATGAAGCACACTGTAGCCTAGGCTGGCCTCTTCTAGGGCCATGTCATAGCCTTGCCATGCTCTTCCTAGTCCTGGTTTGCAGGAGTGAGCCACCATGCCAGGCCAGTTCCTTGTTTTTAAGTTCACATTTGCCATAACTTATAACAGTGTTAACATTGCCCCAACTCCATCATGACTTAAAGTTTAACTTAAAAATTAAGCTTCCAAACATCCATGAACAACCCATGTCAAAGTCTCAAATGTCCTCTGATTTCCCTGCTGTTGCCATAACCACCACCACCAACCAAAAGGAAAGAATCAGGCTAGACCAACAGCATGTTGCCAGCCTGGGAAAATTCCCAACTGATAATTCTGAATGTGCCTGGCAGTGATGGTGCATTCTTTTAATATCAGCACTCCGGAAAGAGACACAGGCAGGTCTCTGATTTTGAGGCTGGCCTGGTCTACTGAGCGAGTTCCAGGACAGCCAGGGCTACAGAGAGAAACCCTGTCTGGAAAAAACAAACAGAAAATCCCTGAATGTGAAGACAATCCTGTGACGTCTTTCACCTCATTGGACTTCAGGGTTAACTTGATTGATGGGGCTAGGGGGCGTGTCCCCTCCTGCATCACTCCAAGTGCATACTTCATGGTGCTGTGCACTCAAACAGGACAACCTTCCCTAATGGAGTGCGACGTAATTTCCAAAATTGCCTGTGCCCTTTCTATGATGTGCCTTCTGCTTCCTCAGCATGAGAAACTGGAATCATAAGCACAGTTCAAGTTGACGTTCCCCAAAGACCTGCTCATCTGTGCTGCAGTCCTCACCCCTGGCCCCTGCTCCCCTCAGTCCTCACCCCTGCCCCCTATCCCCTGCAGTCCTCATCCCTACCCCCTGCTCCCCTGCCATCCTCACCCCTGTCCCCTGATCCCCTGCAGTCCTGACCCCTGCCCCCTGCTCCCCGGCAGTCCTCACCCCTGCCCCCTGCTCCCCGGCAGTCCTCACCCCTACCTCCTGCTCCCCTGCAGTCCTCACCCCTGCTCCCTGCTCCCCTGCAGTCCTCACCCCTGCCCCCTGTTCCCAGGCTCTTCTTGCTTTGCCTTCCCCCTCCCAGCACCTGTTGACAGAAATGGTTCCTGAGAAAGTGGACTGTGGTGTGCTGTCACAATGGGAGAACTGACACCCTGTGCCACCCTCCCTCAGTGGTAACCGGTTTTGGGGGCATTAAGGGTACTTGTTCAAGACTCACTTGACCAGCAACACATTGGCCTGCAGGCGTCTGATAAAGTGAACAAACATCTCCTTGCTCACGAAGTCAAAGCTGTGCTCTGGCTGCAGAAAAAAAACCAGGGAAAATGCTTGTGACCAACTCCCATGTGACCTGTACTCAGAGTCCTTATTTCAGGACACCTGGGTTCCATCGAGGTCAGCTAGGCCACCCACCCCAGGAGGCCAGTGTCCACCTAGTCACTTCCTCATCAAGTCTTCTTAGCTTCCATAAATCAAAGTTCTGTCTCCCACCTCCCATCTCTCTTCTCCCTCTGCTGGACTCCATTCACAGAACCTTTACAGTTGGGTGTGGCTGTTGATTTGGGCTTGCTCCAGGGACTTTTTAGGACTTAGGAGCCCCTGCAGCCTCTTCCCAGTGGGGAGTCAGCTGTGGGCTCTGGACTCTGACTCGCAGAGCTCACACACTTTATGAAACTGCTTCCTTCCACTTGGAAGAAATGTGTTTGGCGCACAGCACAGAGTGAGTCCTCCATACTGTGTCTCCACCCAGCCCTCACTGCTGGCCCTGCTGTTTAATGTGCTATGCTGCAGTGCCCCAAACGGAGGCCTGCAGCCCCAACAGCTACTGATGGACCCTGCAGGTCACTGCACGGCAGGTGTGATACTCATGCTAGGATCAGGAGACTTCCTAGGAGAGCAGATAGTTACTAAAGGTAAATAAAGATGTCAGCACAGCTGGGCTGAGGCTGTAGGTCAGTGGCAGAGAGCCTGCCTGTTATACACTGGGCCCTGTGAGCATCTGATACCCAGTCTATTGCGCACCATGACACATTCTCTCCTGGGCTGGACAGATGTCTCAGCAGAGTCCTTGTGACAAGACCTGAAACTGATCCTCAGACATCACATTTAAAACAACTGGGCACGATGTCACATTCCTATAATCTCAGCCTCAAGAGGCAGGGACAGTGGATCTTTGGAGTGTGCTGGCCACCAGCTTAGCCTATTTGAAAAGTGTGAGACCATCCCCCAAAAACAGACAGTATAGATGTGAGGATGGTGGCTGGGGAACTATAGCCAAGGGTGACCTCTGACCTGCACATGCACATCGTACACGTCCTCACACAGACACACAACAAGGGCACTCCTTGTCTTCTCCTCAGATTAAGATCACCATGGGAACCTTCTCATAGCAAAGATTCCCACACCAGTTAGGAATCCCCACAGTGTCTCAGTTCTGTTCTCAGATGAGAACAAGTGCTGGAGAGCTGTGACAAGCTGCCTCCCAGGGAGGGCAGGCCCTGTGGCTTCACCTTCTCCAACAAGTTTGGGGTGGGTGTAGAGGGAGTCTCTCTGAACCCTAATCACAGCCAACACCTCACAGGACTGGGCCTCTGCCTGTGATCTCCTTTTCCTTAGGAACTGAATTGTCTGGCTCAAGGATACAATCAGGCCTCAACCTTAATTTATAAAGTAGGTCTCAGGAGAGGAGTAGGGGATGCTACCTCTGCTTATGCCTGCAGATGTGAAGCTCTTCTGAGTTTCCATGGCAGCTTATTCTTCCTCTGTGTGCTGACCATGCTGAGGGCCCCTGCCTGTCCTTTTGTCAGCTGCCTGTTCCCCTACAATGTCTTATTACAGTTTTATTTCCTGACCCACTTTTCTTTGTTTGTTTGTTTGTTTTTCAAGACAGGGTTTCTTGTAGCCTTGGAGGCCGTCCTAGAACTAACTTGTAGACCAGGCTGGTCTCTATGAACTCAGAGATCCATCTGCCTCTGCCTCCTGAGTGCTGGGCTTAAAGGTTTGCGCCACCAACTCCTGGTTCATTTTTTTTTTTTTTTGAGTGATAAGATTAAGCCAACAGCAAGGTAAATGGATGGCCAGCTTGGTGAATTTTGCACTGGACACAGGATATGAGACCTGGACCCAGGTCAATGTGCCCTGCTGGTCCTGAGACTCACCAGAGTCCTCTTAGAGGGGAGACCGGCTCTGTTCTCTAACCTTCTTGCCCCACTACTGGCTTCCTTCACTCTGCAACTGTCTCTGAGAGACTTCTCTCATAAGGGAGCCTGGAAATAATACACAGTCCTGAGACATCCTGAGACTCACCAGAGTCCTCTTAGAGGGGAGACCGACTCTGTTCTCTAACCTTCTTGCCCCACTACTGGCTTCCTTCACTCTACAACTGTCTCTGAGAGACTTCTCTCATAAGGGAGCCTGGAAATAATACACAGTCCTGAGACAAGGGTCTGTGACCATGTACATGAACACAGACATGTATGAAAAGGCACTTGGGGACACTTGAGACAAGTGTATCAATTTGAGCACACATGGATTAAATTCATAAATAGGAGAAAGGGATCTGGGGACATAGCCATTGATAGAACACTTGCCTAGCATGTACAAGGTCTTGAGTTCAACTGCCAGCACCCTGCCTTCCATGTGTGTGTGAGAGAGAGAGACAGATTGAGGAACCCTTGTGCATCATTGGTGGGAAGATAAAAGCAGTGCAGCCTCCGGAGACAACAGTTTGGCAAGTTACAAGTTACCGTGTGCTACAGCAATTCTCTTAGAACTAGAAGCAAGGACTCAGACACTTGCACTCATGTTACAGTAACAATGCTCTCAATTGCCAAAACATGAAACCCCAATGTCTATCAGCAGAGGGCTAGACATGGAAAATATGGTGTGCGGATTGCAAGTTGGCTCAGTAGATAAACCACATGCTGGCAAGCTGAGTTTGATCCATTACACTCATTTGGAGGAAGGACAGACTCCCAATTGTCTTGACTTCCACAGAAGCATCCCCTTACCCTTACACACTCACTCACTCACACACACACACACACACACACACACACACACACACACACACAGAGAGAGAGAGAGAGAGAGAGAGAGAGAGAGAGAGAGAAATTAAATAAATCAAAAATAGACATCAAAAAGATGTTTAAAGAAAAAAAAAAAAAAAACCTCTCAGAGACTTGCCTGCCTCTGTCTCCACATGCTGGGATTACAGTCCCCAGGCTGGAATAGCTAGTTTTTGGTGTCACAAAGGTGTGAGCATGGACTGGTGATTTACATGGAAGGATCTGGAAAGCATGATGATGGGGAGAAGAAGCCAGGCACTGAAGGACAAGCATAGGTAACTCATGAAAGTAGAAGCAAACAGCCAACTTCACAGAGACAGAAAAGTAAATTAGGGGTTGCTGGAGAGAGAGGGGAGGACTTAGTTTTTTAGTGGGTTCAGTGTTTACTGAGGATGACAGAGGTTGGGCTAAGGGGTTTGTGACGGTTACAAAAAAAAAAAAAAAAACAGTGTATTTAATACTACCCAGCAGTGTACTTACAGGCATCTAAAATATTGATTATATCTTGTGTGTCTTTACTATGTTATGCATATAATTTTAAAAGCACTTTCAAGAAAAGACCACAGGCAATTGAGGAAGGAGGCAGGAAGACAGTGGCACTTACCACAGAGAGCCTCCTGTCCCTGCTCAGGGCCACACCTGGGGAAAATACAAAGCATGGTAGCTTCAGTGTCACCTGTTACAGGAAGGGACTCACCTGGCTTCCTGGGGAAGTCGAAGTCTTCACACAGGGCTCATGTCTTCCATCTGGGCTAGAGAAAGTCACCTGTCATCAGGAGCCCTGCACTTCTGCCCTGGGATTATTCTAGTGCAGAGCTTGGTCAAGGCTGTCTGACCACAGCACATGGGCATCTCCTCAGACCCCAAGGGCCAGAGAAGGATGATGATGGAGACACTCAGATTCTCTCATCCTTCCCTCTCCTTCTTGTTGTTTTTAGATTGGATCTCACTGTGAGACCCTTGATAGCCTAGAACTCACTCTATAGACCAGGCTGGCCTCAACTCACAGAGATCTGCCTGCCTCTGCCTCCAAGTGCTGGGATTAAAGGCATTTGCCTCCACTCTAGGCTCTAACTCTCACCTCAGAGAAAGAAACAGTTCATTTGGTTGTTTTGGTTGTTTGTTTTTTGTTTTTTTGTTTCTTCGAGACAGGGTTTCTCTGTGTAACTTTGGAGCCTGTTCTGGCACTCGCTCTGGAGACCTGGCTGGCCTCGAACTCACACAGATCTGCCTGCCTCTGCCTCCCGAGTGCTGGGATTAAAGGTGTGTGCCACCAACACCGGGCTTCATTTGGTTGTTTAAACACTGGAAAACAGAGAGTAATGGAGACCACTGGTATCCTTGTCAGAGTAGGTCCCGGCCATGTTTGATGTCTAATCTACCTCTCTAGAAAGGTTTAGCCACACCCTCTCCTCTGCCACATCTATGATTCCTGGAGAACTGTGTGCAGGGGGAGGGCACACCAGCCTCTGCTGTCATGTAGGAACTCACAAGCCTTGGAAGTCTCCAGGAGCTGGCAGGGAATGGAAAAGCCAACTCTGGGGAAATGGGAAGGGCTGCAGGTGTGAAGGTAGGGAGAGACCTGCCTACAAGTCTGCTCAACTCCCTTGCTCGCAGCCACCAAAGTGAAAAGTGCACAGCCACCAAAGAAAAGTGCACAACCACCATAAAAATACACAGCCACCTGCACGCCTTTAATCCCAGCACTCTGGAGGCAGAGGCAGGGGCAGGTGGATCTCTGTGAGTTCGAGGCCAGCCTGGTCTCCAGAGCAAGTGTCAGGATAGGCTCCAAAGCTACACAGAGAAACCCTGTCTAGAAAAACCAACCAACCAACCAACCAAACAAACAAACAAACAAAATCAAAAAAAAAAAAAAAAAAACCCACAGCCACCAAGGAAAAGGTGGAGTCAGACTTGGACACCTGCAAATGGTCTAAGTCCCCAGTGTGTTAAACACTTAAATGCAAATATAAGCCGTGAGGAGTTTTCGAATCAAACAAGGACAAGATTCCAATTAGAGTATCCATAAAAAGACACAGGTCCAGTGTCAATTCTACAATTCTGCACTCAAGAAAAGAAACCACTCCAAGACTAGTCTAGAGAGAAGTGAGAACTAGAGGGCAGGAGGTTCCAGTTCCATGTCTGCAACATGGGGAAGCTGTTAAAATGAGACAAAGCCAAGGACTGGACATAGAAGAGGACAGATGCTTACACTGCTCTCTGGGGCTTCCAACCTCCATAGCCTTCAAATAAATCTCCTTTCTTTTTCTGCAGTGCTGGTGTTGGAACCCAGGATCTTGTGCATGAGGAGCAAACATTCTACCACTGAGCTAAAAGCCAAACCTTACACTTTATTCTTTGTTTTGTTTTTTAGAGACAGTATTTCTCAGTGTAGCAGCATTGGCTATCTTGGAACTTGTCCTGTAGATCACATAGATCCAATTCCCTCTGCTTCCTTAGTGCTTGGAATAAAGGCATGCATCAACACTGCCCAGCTTTTGTGTTGTTGTTGTTTTTTATTTTTGGCCAACTCTTTTTCATGTTTAAAGAACCATTTATGTATGTATGTATGTATGTATTTATTTATTTATTTAGAGATAGGTTCTACTATGTAATCCTTCCTAGCATAAATTTGCTGTTTAGAACAGGCTAGCCTCAAAATCACAGAGATTTGCCTGCTTCTGTATCTTTGAGACAGGCTTTTTTTTTTTTAATATGACTGAAAGAAGACAAAGGTGATAAAAAAAACTCAAGGTAGGGGGGCTGGAGAGATGATTCGGTGGTTAAGAGCACTGGCTGCTCTCCCAGAAGTCCTGGGTTCAATTCCCAGCTCTCATATGGCAGCTCACAACTGTCTATTACTCCAGTTGTAAGGAATCCAACAGATACACATGCAGGCAAAACACCAAGCACACAAAATAAAAATAAATCACTTTAAAAAAAAGAAAAAGACTCTAAAATGATGACTGGGCTGTTCCTATAGCTGAGAATGGTTGAGATGGGACATAGGGACAGACACACATACACACACACAAACACACAGACACAGGAAAAGCAATGCATGAATCCAGAAGCTATTCTGAAGAAAAAGGCAATCACGGAAACATAGAAGAATGCTATTTTCTGTAATTATTAGGGTTTTGCCTCTAATTAGAGATTATGGAACTCTTAGATGATAAATGGAATGTTTAATTGTTGATAGAGCTCTAGCCAGGCACCTGTGACCCCAGACACACAGAAGATCATATGGCTGAGAGGTTTTTCTGGTCGCCCAACTCTCAGGTCACCTCAGCCTAATGAATTCAAGGGAGAGGCCTCTGTCCCACTCTGGGCTGGCACTCACATCCAGTCACCTGTTCTGTTCGATGAAGGATCCTCTCTGCTCTTGCAGGGTGGGGCCCTGGGGAGGGTTGTACATTCCTCTAGGTCTGGGTCTAGCTGATCCTGGCTGATTAGAGAATGTGAAAATACTTCAGAAAGGAGGGGGACTCAGGAATGGGGAGATGGCTTAGCTCATAAAGTGTCTGCTGTACAAGCCTAAGGACCTGAGTTTAATCCAGCACCAAAATGAAAAGCCAGACATGACAGCATGTGCCTGTAATCACAGTGGTGAGGAAGTGCTGGCCAGCCAGTCCACCTGAGTCCTTGCCGAGACAGCCTGTCTCAGAAATAAGGTGGAGGACAGAGGAGATGGCCAGCAGGGAAAGGCACTTGCTGCCAACAGAAAAAAGGTGGAGGACAGAGGAGATGGCCAGCAGGGAAAGGCACTTGCTGCCAAGTTTGAAGACCTGAGTTCGGTCCTGGGATCCCCACAGTAGAGGTGAGAAGAGAGAACTGATTCCCATAGATTATTCTGGCCTTCACATAGATCCATGGCATCACACACACACACACACACACACACACACCTACAGGTAGGGAGCAGAGGAAATCCTGAGTCAATGAGGTCCTGAGTAAATGTGTGCTGTTGACATGGATGACCATGTCAAGGACCCAGAGCCTAAGACCCATGGAGGAATGGCCCAGTTACCCAACAAAGGCTCCTAAGGCTCAGAGGCAAATGGCAAAGTCTTCCTCTGGTCTCACTGTGGATTTTCACAGTGTTTTCAAGAATTACCCACTATAACTCCCTCTACCCCTGATATTTGCAGCCTGACACAGCTCCCCACAGACACTGCACCTACCAGATTAGCTAAACCTGCCTCCTGGATCCAGAAATTCCAGAAGCCCCTTGACCTTGTTTATCTGTGTGAGAATGGAGGAGAATGGAGAGAGGTAGGGAAAAGAGAGAGGAGGGACAAAGAGGTAGGTAGAGAGAGAGAGTGTTGGGGCTAGAGGCCTAGAACAATGCTTTCCTAACACTATCCAGAGACCCAGCAGGATCTGAATCTTCCTTCTCCTAAACTTATTCTGCTACATAGGGGTGCTTTCACAGCAGTGCTCCCATCCCTTGCCTGCTCCCAAGCACAGAGACTCAACTTCTCAGCAATGCCCACTGTCTCCAGAGTGACCATTCAGCACCTGTGCCCACATTTCAGGCAACCAGAGACCAGTCAGATTCCCTGGTCTGGCTGGGAAAATGCCTCTTATGGATTAGCCCATTTCTGTACAGGGAACCCCTGGGTTAGCCATCTTTGTGGGGCACAAAAGCCTAGGACCTAACCTTCATATTGGTTTGTAGGGAAATGAGATAGGCTCAGGACTAAAACATAAAAGATCAGAAAGGCAGTCTGCGCCCAAATACTCTGGGCTTGCTCCCTGTGGGTCTCACTGTATCATTCTATCCTAATGTACAGGTACAATGTGCAGCCCAGGAGGCCTCTTTCAGCACTTGGAATTCTAGTCACACAGGACAGGGGTTCCCACATGACAACATGTCTCTGTGAGGGGTCTGTTGGCTCCAGTGCACAGCATCCCCTGGTGACTTCTTCCTCTTGCCCAACAGGATTTCACAACTTGCCCAACCCCCATGTACTAGGTAGGTGGAGGGAAACCTACTTCTTTTGGTTCTGCAGAAATTAATTTTCACAACCTCAATTGAGCCTGACAGCCTGTGAGAGCAACGATCTACTGACCTTCTTTGTCTATTTCCTAACACACCTGGGGGAGTCCCATGGTTGGTCAACTGGCACAAACAAGAACCTAACCTTGTTTTTTGTGCCAATTTGAGGCCCTTCTTTTCTCATTACACCACCTCACTCAAGCTTTTAACTCACCTGATTGCTCCAAGCCCCTCCCAGGGCACTCACATTCATTCATTCATTGTTTATTTGTGAGTATGCTTAATGTGAACTTGGTCAGGCTTTACAATCACCATGGAAACAAACCTGTGGCCTGTCTCTGAGGAGTTTCTAGATGAGACTGAGTTGGGGAGGTCTACCCTGACTCTGGGCAACACTATCCTGTGGCCTGGGATCTGGAACTGAACAACTGTGAGCTGAAAACCAGCATTAATTTCGCTCTGTTTCCTCGCTGTGCTCATAATATGACCAGCTGCCCCTGCTCCTGCCCCCCTCACACAAAGGGCATTTGTAAATGTTGCCCCCTGGAGTTGTTCCATCTCTACAGACTGGCAGCTTCCTTGAGACTGGGACAGTGTGGCTCAGGGCCACACTCACTGTCTTGATGGGGAATGTAACTCTCAGGACCTTAGTGAAAGTTTCTTGACAAATACACGGGAGAAGTTATATAGAAGAGACCATCACATGAGAGGCTGCCAGAGCCACAGCACCTCCTCCCTATAGGCCCAGCAGGGTACGGCCATGACAGTCAACAACTACAGTCCCAGTGCCTGCCAACCTTCAAACAGAGTGTGGTTTTCTACAATGGTTATGTGACCTTGTATCAGGTACTTGGCAATTTGCAGCCTCAGTTTCCCCTGCTCTCACATGGCTGTGTGCAAGGCAATGGAAGAGTCAAGGAAACACTTGAGTTAAAAAATATCAGCTTGGGGCTGAAGAGATGGCTCAGAGGTTAAGAGCACTGACTGTTCTTCCAGAGGTCCTGAGTTCAGTTCCCAGCAACCACATGGTGGCTCACAACGATCCGTAATGAGATCTGGTGCCCTCCTCTGGTATGTAGATATACATGGAAGCAAAATGTTGTATACATAATAAATCAATAAAATCTTTAAAAAAAAA